CCTTTAATATTCAGCCTCCAGGTACGCGTGGTTCCCGCATACGGCCCCGTGAGATTTTTCGACGGGAAAATGGCTAACTCGGGAACTAACAAAGCTGGGAAGCTGAAATTTTCAGGGAATGTTCCCAATCCACTTACTACTTAAAGTTGTCAAATTTAGCCTCCAGGTGTGCGTGGTTCCCGCGTACGACACCGTGAGATTTTTCAGCGGGGAAATGGCTAACTCGGGAATTAGCAAAGCTGGGAAGCTGAAATTTTCAGGGAATGTTCCTAGCCTATATACGACTTAATTTCATGAAATTCATCCCCCAGGCTTGCGCGGCTCGCACGTACGGCCTCGCGAAATTTTTTGGCGGGAAAATGGGTAACTCGGGAATTAGTAACGATGGGAAGCAGAAATTTTCAGGGAATGTTCCCAATCCACTTACGACTTAAAGTTATCGAATTCAGCCCCCAGGAGTGCGTGGTTCTCGCGCACGGGCACTTAAATTTTTGGCGGGAAATTACTAATTGGGTCATTTTCAAAAAACGACCGCTAAACGGATATTGTTTATTTTTTTAATGCAAAATTTACGATAAGTTACGGTACTGAGAGCACAAGGTAAGTGTAAAGAAACAATCACTCATGCAATTAACCTAATTATTTAAAGTCTGGTGCAAAAACGCATGATCGCACCGCCTCGCCTGGTGCGTTCCAGTCTGGGTTACTTTTGATGAATGACTGTTGAATGGAAATCGTACGTTGATTTATGCAAAATTTGTGGTGATTTGCGCTAGTGAGCGTAAAAGGTAGGTGTAAAGCAAAGTACTTCCTTTCAAGTCTGAAGCAAAAATACATGATCGTACTGGGAAGCCTGGTGCGTTCCATCCTTTCATTTCTGTATTAGTGACTCTGCAGCTGCACAGCTGAAAGTCTTTTATTGATCAGCTTTTATTAACCTACAGTTTATTTAGCAAGCTTCCGTTATTTTTGCATAAAACGAAAAATACTGCATTTTACAGACTTCCTCGATTTTTTGTCAGTGTCCGATTCTGCTAGTGAGACAGCCAGTCTCTTTCCGATTCGTCATTCGTTTCGATGGTAAATTGATGAGCTGTGCTGGAAGTTTAAACCGTAATCTGTCTGTATTTAAGCAACCTTCCCAAAAGGGAACCGTTGATAACCCTACCGGCGGTACTGCTGTTGGAACGACTACTTTCAGTAACACCTATGTTACCCATAAAGAGTGTATGACGAGGGGTCCTCAACTTGCCGTAAATTTCTCGTTAAGGAACGAAAGTTTTTTTAAAAGTTTAAAAATCGAAAATTATTTTAAAGCGTTCTTTCGCGAGGGATAATCAGAGAGATCGATGACTTTACGCGATTAGTTAAATATTTAGAGTTGCAAATATTATGGTAATTGCCGTCGAGGAGAATTCTCGAAATATGCTTCCCACTTCGTCGCTGCGAATCAATCCGAAGTACGCTCAGATAACTGAACTTGTCCCGGGTCTGTACATCTGTGGGGTGAGTTCGCTAACTGCGGACAACATCGAACATTATAACATATCACTGATCATCAACGCAACCAGCGAGGTTTGTCCAGAATTTTGTTAGCTTTGAAAAATATTTTCATAAAATTTAAAATTTTACTGTCTCTTAAGAGTGTGAAAAGTTTTGTATGGAAATTTCGAAGCATTTCCAAAGTTTAGAAAGGCATTGCTCTTAATGAGTATCATTTTTTAATGCGTTTTTTGCAGCTATGCAATGAAGAAAATGCATATTGAAGTGAGGTTGTCTGTGTATGTGTTCGTGTGTGTGTCCGTGTGTGTGCTTTGCGTCTGTACAGATTTTTCATCTCGAGATCCACAAAAGCTACGAGGATGGAACTTGGGGAACTTAATCTACATGTGTGTACGAGCCCCCACTTCCGAAATGGGCGCTCTTATTCGCGGGCCCGTGAAAATTTTTCTGATTCCCGATTAGCGACTCACGGGTAAGTCGCTAATCGGGAATCAGAAAAGCCAGAAAACTAAAATTTTGCGGGGACATTCCCCGCCCACGTAAGTCTTATTGAGCTCAAACCCAAACATCGGGTATACGTGGTACCCACGTACGGGCCCGTCAAATTTTTTTTTCGGGTATGTTGCTAAATTGAATACCTGAAAAGCTAGAAGGCTGCAACTTTAAGGGGGTGTCACCCGCCCAAGTACGTACTGATGAGTCCAAACCCAGCCCCCGGGTATGCGTGACCCATGCGCAGGCTCAACAAATTTTTTCTCTGGTAAGTTGCTAACTCGAGAACCTGAAAAGCTAGAAGACTGTAATTTTACGAGGATATTCCCCGCCCACGTGAGTCTCAACAAGTTCAAACCCAGACATAGGGTATGCGTGGTACCCACGTGCGGGCCTGTGAAATTTGTTCGGGGTAAGTCGGTAACTCGAGAATCTGAGAAGCTAGAAGACTGTAATTTTAAGGGGATGTTTCCCGTTCACGTAAGTCTCAACGAGCTCAAAACCAGGCATTGGGTATGCGTGGTAGCCACATGCGGTACATGAAAGTTTTTTCGAGTAAGTTGCTAACTCAGGAGCCAGAAAAGCTAGAAAGCTGAAATTTTAAGGGGGTGTTTCCTGACAGT